ATGTGATAAACCAGCCAAGTCATCACAGGTTGCCCTTCACAACAGCTAATTGGGTTTAGTAGAAATTTGGAACATTCCCCTCCTTCAATACATGATCCTTTTAAAAGCAAAAACATGATCCTAAAGTTAACCCAGCCTTAAAGAGAACACTCCGACGTTCAGGGTTAGTAGATATGTAGAGCTATGAATGGTACAAGGCTATTTGCTCTACCAAGAAAGGCAGCTTGTACAATGTCTGTGACCTTGGTATTTTGAGCAGACAATTGTCAAGGTGTAGTAACAGCTAAACTAAAGTTGACTCTGGGCAACATGCCTCGATGAAGCAGTCATCAGACTCTGTGTTTTGGTATTACATGGAAGAGAAACTGCTAACCAAAAACTCAATTTATAAGTGATCAATCTCTAATGATTAAGAATATATAGCACTTAGTAGGTGCTCAGTAAATGTGTGCTAGAGTTCATATGGTTTCAATTTTATAATTTGGACTTTGAAGAGATGGGTCCCACTGCATTCGAAGTGAGTCATTTTGCTTATGTAAGACATGCCTTTTCTACTGTTAACTTATAATAAGAAAATGTTTCGACCATACTTGACCAAAAATAAACAGTATTGAAGTAATCATTCAATTTGTATGAGAAATTGTTGGTCCCCCACAATGGCTAAATGGTAACCGTCCAGCGGAATTTAGCTTTGCTGCTTCTATTGACAATAGCAACGAACATGTCCATAACAATAATAAGGGCTTGTTTTAATAGAACGTTCCACGCATTAAACACATTAATGACCCATGAAATAACTGTTTTATCTGTAACACATTAAGCAACATGGCTAAAACAATGGATTAATTGAAAGTCGGATATTTCTCTGAAGATTTTGGAAAGTACAATAATGGCATGAAAGTTATTTTGTGAAAATAAAAATAATCCAGAATTAGACCCATACTAAATGACTATATGAAAAATAAAGATTTCTAAAACAAGCCTGGCAATTTTAGAATTATTTTGATACACTTCCATTTTTCTGATCAAAAATGATGTCTGTCTGGATTATGTCTTAAGAGCTTTATGAATATTTTAAAAGCTGCTACTTTTTCTTCTCTGTGTGCAAATCTTCTATAAGACTTTTTTTCCTCTCTTATTCTCTTTCTTTAACAGGTACAGAGACTACCATACTCAAATTTACTTCCCTTACTTCCATCATTTTCAATTTTCTAATACTGTGTTTGATATTACCAAAGCACCAGGAGTACTTTCTATAAATATATGCTATCACAATTAAGTCCAAAGCAAATATCAAACAGAAAACGTTGGTCCTTCAAACATGAAATATAATGCACAAAGAAAAAGTGTGTGAATTATCAGTGTGTTTTATAAATTCTCTTTGGGGGAGGCATCTAAAATATCAGACTAGAGACAATTATTTTACTGTCTGTTTCTTGGATATCAAAGAGAATTTTGAAATTCATCAAAGCTAACCTTCTGTTATGTACAACAGGCTAAGCTGAAAAGAATGTTAACAAGTTCAATTTTCATTCAATCAGCACTACTGCTCTCTGAAATGTTTCATTGCAGGAAAGAAATAAAAATAATCTATATGGTAATTATGAGGATGAATCCCCCAGTAACTTTCAGCTACATGAAAGGTCAGTTCTATTCAAGATATTTTATCAGTCCCCTGCACATACTCCTGTCCTGTCATTTTAAATCTGAACAGCATTTTATTTTCCCATTTACAGCTACCTGCAGAATTAAGTACTTAAGCCAAATAAGAAAAAAAAAAAAAAAGAAAGAAATGTTGAATGCTGGCAAAGGCTATAATAGCATAGAGATAAATCGTTCAGCTGCTCTCTCTCAAGCCTCTAGGGCTGCAGATTTTTCTTCTCCTGGTGCACTGTGGGTATTCAAAACTTGTTCAACATGATTTCATTTCATTTCAGGCACTGCCTGAGAAAACTAAATTACAGAATCAATCATACAGAAGGTCAGAGTGAGACTTCATTACAAGTATTGCATGCTTGCATGAATATCTTTCATTTATGACTGACCCAATATGTCACAATAGCTGTCTAGTAAAAATAATCCACTTTCTGAAATTGATGTACTGCTGATGTCAATGCTACTCAACAGGCTGGGCAGATTATAGAGAGGTGTTAAAAAAAAAAAAGAAACCCTTTAGAGTGCATGTTGTAGATTTTTAGGATTGCCAGCTTTTGTAGATTAAAATAATTTCCAGATGATCATCTGAACTGACAATGATGCTTAGAGGTAAAAAGAATTTTTAACCAAACTGTGACTGTTGATTTTGACTTGCCAACCACATCCTGTTTGAAAATACACATATCCACAACAAGCAAATCAAGGTTGTTCTTTGAAGCCACAAATGCATCAGATTTCAATTTTTTCAACAATTCGCTTTTGAATACCAGGGCATTATTTGCATATTGGATTGCTAATCATTAGACTCTTTTCAATCTCCCCCGTTTTCTTTTTTGTTCCTGCTTTCTGTTCTTTAAATATAATGGCAGAAATTTAAAGAAGATAAACATGTTGCCAACAAAATGCGGTTAATCAGTAATATGACAAACTGCCACTCTCTAAAGGAAAACCAATGAGGGTCTGAGGAAAAGATGGCTCAAAACTACATGCACAAGCTGGCTTTTCTTCTTACATGATAGTCTCAATTTACCATAGCAATTCTTAACCGACAGCCATCTTCATCTGGATAATAAAACTTCTTAGTTGCGTAAGGTACGAAATAGCCAGTGCACACTGGGAAACTGAATGCATGATGTATAAAGTATTATTTATTATTTTGCTGGTGACCTTCCTGAGGGAAATCTCCGAGGAGCTGCTGTGGGGCATTACGATGTCGCCAGCCACCTCGGTACCCGGAGGGAAATATAGACGAACCTTGACATAACCTATTTTTAACCATGCCTCTGGCGATTCTGAATTCAAGTTTATAGGTGAACATGTCAGGTAGTACATAGAACAAAGCCAACGACACATTGTATTCATCGTAATTCTGTCCCGGTACGTTTTATTTTTTCCAACATTTGTGATTTAAAATCCCATGACATTTCTTCAAGGTGAAATTCTACTCGAATTTTCAACAAGATTAGTTTGTTTCCAGCCAAAATAAATATCATTCAGGTTCAGCAAAACTTCAGAAAGGCACCAATAAATGCGATGAGGTCCACATAAACACCATGACGACAGTTTGTACTTAGCTAAAGGACTTCCACTTTTAAGAATCAATGAAATAATTCAACTGCATGAGTGATTAGCAATACATTACAAAAGAAGCATTAAAAATTGAGTCCTCTCTCCCAACGCCACTCCGTGAAAGCATTGTTCTTTAAGTGTATGTGAATATCATAATTATTTTATGATTCCATCTTTAGTTCTTTCCAATATAGTAAATTCAATTGACCATGAAATGAAATTTCATAGTCAAAATGCCTCCTTTACACTTTTTTATAGCAGCAATAACAGTTTTATAGCTTTAAGGCAAGGTAATTCATCAGATGTTTAATTTAAAGGCAGATTCTTATATTATTAATAAATATTTACCAATTTAATAAAGCACACATTTTAGCATGCATTATACGGTCTTTTAACTATTTCCCTAACGTAAATGAGCCTCACTGAGCATCTATGAATAATGGTGAACCCTGGGCAAACTCCCTTGGCAACTAAACACCCTTTTTATTTTTATTATTTTCCAGGCACAACATTGCAAGCCTGATTGTAGAGAAACAGAGGACAGAACCCTCCCTTCCAGTGTCAAAGGGACAAAAATGCAAGAAAGTCCACAGGAAACAATTATTTGAGATGGCGAGGAACATTTATGAATACTTAATGACCATTTCCCGACTGTTCCTTACACTCTTTTCTGACAAAAAAGTAAAAATAAAAACCCTGATGTTCAGCTCAAACACAAAAGATCACAGGCAAAGAAAATTATGTTGCTGCAATCCTATTTGGGAAAGTAATCTTATATTTCAGAGAGCACACTGAATCTTTGCACTGCTAATCCACTACATATTTTGCAATCATCTGCTGTTATCTGGGGAATTAACAATGAACCCAATAAACATCACTGGCATGGTCATAATGTGCAGAGAAATATGTAAACAAGCAATAGGATTTGTTTTTTGTTATACCAACACATCTGTTTCATTTTATCAGGGTTTAAGAAAAAAAAAAAAGCCCTATAAACTATTAATCTTGTTTTAAAACGTCTGTTTCATACTTCACCTAGATAGACACCCAATGCCTTATATACTATGGTAGGGAAAAAACAGCCCCAGCAGAAGAGTTTAAAATACTTAAGTAGATTTACTCTGGTGATTGCTAACTATAATTGCACACCAAGAAAAACAGAACCAAAATTATTGCATTAGTAATTTTGGCTCTCTGGAGTGCCTCATTTGATGTTTACAACAATAAATAACACAATTAGGTATATTTCACAAAATAATCTGCTCTATACTTTCCTCTGCTGGTTATGAACAATTATTCTTTTTCCCTTTCTCTGTATCACAGTTTGAAATTTCATTTCAGGTAGGAGCAAATCACATATCATAAACATGATGCTTTAATCCAACAAATGCAAAAGACCTGGGCCCTGGTAAGGGCTCCCTTCTTAAAAAAAACTCTCCTGGGCAAACTTTCAATTCAAGGACATATCTTTGTTAAACCAAAAGCAAGGGAAGATTGGCTGCTTTCAAACCAATGAGTCTGACTTCTGTAAAAAATCAATTCAAACCAGAGGATCTTATGGGGTCCTCCTTTTTCAAGTCAACCAACCCAATGCCATCTTGACCAACACCAGGGACTGCTCCACTATCTGCCTTTAAATGGCACCAGTAGGAACAATCTGCATGTCCACCAGTAGACAGGCATGAGCATGTTTCAGAAGATGGGCTCCCAGATCTTTACCCTGCAAAGGTCACACGATAAGTAAAACACTTTCAAGCAGTAAATTTGATGCCTACCATATGCAACCCACTGCTATGAAGCACGCCATCTTGTTCCACGAGATTTCTTGAGATTGTTATCGAAGGAAGATCCAGGCTTTGAGGGGGAAACTGGGGCGTGAATTCACTTCCCTGGGAAGGCAACGGATCGCTGAGGCCTTGAAAAGGCAGAAGGACATCAGGCATGCCCAGGGCGGGATCCGACTCTGGAGGCGGCGTGATGGGGGGTATTTCAAACTCCTCATCCCCAAGGCTTGGTGTATGGAATGTCTGCTAAAAGGAAACAAAATATAGATATCTTCATATTCTGTTGCTAGATCTTATTTCTCCTTGGAGGGAAAAAGAACGATGTCACATGAAAACACTACACAGCTAGACCAAATATTTATTTCTCAAATGAAAACATCTTAAACACAGATTTCCATATATAAAGTTTTGCTGATCATTCTGATTAAAGATTTAAGTCTCATTATCATATGGTTTTAATGGAGTATCAGTATTAACAGTTTTTTAATGCGTACTTAATTAGCAACATCTGTCTTTGTTGTTAGTTGGAGCACCAGCGACATTAGATTTGGCTATATAACAAATTGCCACTTTATTGATATGTTAGTGAAACAGCTCAAATGCTTACATTATCCACATGCTTCATCAAATGTTGACGATTTTGTGGAGCGCACACACAACATTAATCCGGAAGTGAACATTACACATATTTACTTTCTGCCACAACATATAAAACAAGTGATGCCGAATGTATGGTTTGCTTTTTTAATTTCCTTATTGGTATAGTCTCAAGTGCAATGCCTGCTTCCATGGAAGTTGCTACTGTTTGTAATAAAGCATTTTATATAAGGATCATCAGAGCATATTTATCTAGGGCTTTTATTTAAACAAAAAGGAGAATTTTCTTTTATAGGAAGATTTTTGATTTGTATTTATCAGAACACTTCTCTTCCAGTCTTCAGTTTTAAAAGGCCATAGAAGGAGCATAGAGATATATTGATAGAAATGTACTAATTCCATGGATGTTTCTCAAGTACTTAATGTTATTTCTCAAGACCAAAGTAAATAATGCATACTTTTTTCAGTGCTACTTAGACCCTTAAAGATAATATTTTCACATAGGCCCTTGGGGTGCACATTAGAGCTGCCTGCCAAACCCCATGAACTATCTTTCTTAAAATAGAACTTCAATTTTGTGGGAAGAGGGATCAATGTCTAGAATATTCTTTTTGGTAGGGTGAAGCAGTTACTCAGATACTTTTTATTTCCAGCTCAGAGGGTCAATATTATAGTTCATTTATTATTAATAGTAATTTTTGAAGAATGAATTGGTGCAAGATAATTTGAATCTACTATAATTGGTTAGGAAAACTAATTAAGAGCTGAAAATCATCCTTCTTCAAGCTATCAATGATGATGTAACTTAATAACCATTTGAAAGAAAATAGAAACAAACCCAAGGGGAGAAAACACACACACACACCCTTTCTTGTCTATAGAACCTGTCAACTGCTATTCGTATCTCACCAGAAATAAAGAAGTCACAAGCTACGGGTGTCCATGGCTGGGCAACTGAACATCTTGAGTTTCTCAGCAGATTCAGTAGATGCAAAACATGAGACTACAACAGCACATTTGAAAGCTAGAGTGAAATATTAGATTTTCTGACATATTGATTCCAAGAACGGCTCCCCAAAGATGTCAGTTTCCGACTGCGGTACCCCGAGTTCTCAAACACAAAGGATGAATTGGCCACAAGCGTGGCTGGCTAATGAATGTAACCCTATGGCTGCATTTGCTGTTATTTTGGCACTAATGTGGTCTAGTAACAGATGCAACTGTAATTTGTGACTCATTTGCTACCCCATTACTGCTTAATGAAATCTAACATATCACATTAACAATACGGATAAACACTCATTCTTGATATGTGGCATTTGGCTGTTTTCATTACCACTGTAATTAACACTTGAAATATTATTTCAATAAATATTTAAAGTACTTTAAAAATGGTCAGGGTAATCATGACACAGACAGAAAACATAAAGCAAATGTGTGAATTTCAAACTCAGAGCATCCTGGTCCCCATAGTGTTATCTACTGGGCGAGATCTATGGGAAGGGAATCAGTTTCAGGCACAATTTTGACTTCACAGCATCAAACCTAAAGTCTTCCTGAATGAGTTTGCACTCATTAAAATGTTAAAAAACTAAACAAATTTACTTTTAATGCTTCTAATGAAGTGATTGGGAAATTAGGCACATACTATAATGTAGTGTATTAACATTGACTTGTGCTTTATTTTTTGCTCAAGCAAACATGTACAGTGAAATCATTACATAGGATTATTTTTTAAACTTGAACATAAAGTATGCCTTTTGCTAGGCAGTTAAAATTAAAGAGATTTTCATTTTTATTTTTGTTACGGTATAAAGAGATCTTACATATAATATGTCCCTCCAGTGTATTTTTTAAAGAAATTAATTTTTACCTAGAATTCAATATATTACTATTCCATAATCTAATAAAACAATACCATAACATTATATTATATAACTAAAAAAATGCTAAAACCTTAAATGACTTTTAAAGAGAGGTAATCCATGAAATATAAAGTTAAACATTCCTTAGAGAAATGAGTAATCAAAGCACTGGTTATCTGAGATAATAAAAATAACCAAGTATGGCAGCAACCAAAAAAAAGACACTGACTTCAGCAACCACACCATCTGACCAATATCAGATTAATCAGTTAGTTTATATAATTACTTTTCACAGATATTGACTTTCCAGTGTTTACCTTGTACATGTTAAAGTAGTATGTACATGGTTAAATACCATCTGTACTGAAATGTTCAAAACATTTGTTCCTTTTGATAAAAATGCAAATCTGGAGAACTGTTGTATCAACATATAACAGCCAATGTCTGACACGGTGAATTATCACAGCTGGAATTAAATTGTCTCTGAACAGCTGCTGGCACTAGAGCTTTCATCAATGTTTGATTCAAATGTAGGGAAAAAAATCCTACAGAATGAAACATCATGTTGTCCTTACAGATGGGGTTTGTGCTCATTATCACAAACAACGCAGCAGCCAGTGCCAAACAATATTCCCTTATCTAGGCAGTCTTCTTGGTTAGAGAGATGACGGTCACTACATAAATGATTAATCTATGGATACCCTTAATTCTTGATTCCCCACTTTTTCTACTAATTTTGCCAAGTTCATTTCTTCCATACCACTTGCCTTCCTGTAATGGAGATAATTTACGTTATGATTTTCATTCTCTGGGGTCAAGCTGGTTCAGTTTTCTATATTTGAATGTATTTGGAAAATGAAGAGTTTTTTTATTATGGGCATTGCAAGAGGAAATGTTCCATTTTCACTTCTGCTTGTTTTTGTTTCCTTAAATCTCACACAGTGTACCACTTTCAGGAAACCATTTCTTGATCTAATCAAGATGGAGGTTTTTCTGGAAGGCAGGACAATGAGACCAGGGAGCAGCCCTGTCACTGGGCAAGGAATGCAGTGAAAACAGCAACAAGAATATGTTCATTCCACTGATAACCTTCACATAGTCTCATGGTTTCCCACCATGGTGCTGCCTTTTGATTCCATCCCTCTATTTTCCTAGCCCTGACAGAGTCTTGGAACATGCTCATTCATTCATTCATTCAATACATATTTGCTGAGCACAGGTGGTGCTAGAGGTAAAGAACCTGCCTGCTAATGCAAGAGACATAAGAGACGTGGGTTTGATCCCTGGGTCGGGAAGATCCCCTGGAGAAGGAAACGACAACCCATTCCAGTATTCTTGCCTGGAGAATCCCATGGACAGGGAAGCCTGGCGGGCTACAGTCCACGCGGTCGTAGAGTCAGAGGTGACTGAAGCAACTTAGCAGGCGCTGTGTGCACACCACTATACTCAGCTGTGGGAATCTAACAAAAAAACACTCATTTTACATCACACCCACTGAAGACCCGAGAAATCATCATGCCATTCTGCTACATCATTCCAAAACCATGGCAACGTAATGAAATGATTTTCAGAGCAGTGTGATGCTTAAATATTTTCTATTAGAAATCCCTGCCATCCTAGTTTCCAAAATAACCCCTATCTGCTTAGACACCAATATAGTTTGGATAGATAGTCTCATCTTATATATTTACTTCTGTTTGCACCTATATTTTTTTTTCACCAAGAGGTGTGTGTGTGTGTGTGTGTGTGTGAGTTACTAACACTTGTAACAGCCTACGGACGAGTGATAAAGACTTGTCAGGTTATTTTCTCTTCCAATAGGTTTTTCTCATTTCTCCTCCAAAGTTGTTACCTCATGCCATGTAAGAGCCAGAGTGAGATAAATTCAATACTTGGCTTTCGCCTTCAAGCCTTTTAAATGATCTAAATAACAGACAAAACATGAACAGACACATTAAGACAGACACCTACCTCGCTGGCTGCAAAGAAAGCGTTGTTTGCCTCAGCCATATTCATGTAGTTATTGTTATTTCCAAACTGAAAGAAAACACATTGTTTTATGTTAATATGCCATGTCATAAAGAATTCTAGGGATTTACTTAGCGCTCAGATGGGATCTGGAAAGAATGTTGGTGCGATGAGATAAAAGGGTGGTCTGCCTCAGCCGAAATGTGAACTGTGACAGGTTTTAGAGCACCATGCTATATTCTGTCGGCTGACTCCCTCAGAAAATAAAGCATCGAGTTAAGCTTACGCGATAATTCTAGAAAATAGTGTTGTTTCTCATCAAGAGTAACAGTGAAAGGAGACAACTGTAAACATTTGCCCAACTGGTCACTAGTGGGTGTTGTTTATCGAACTGGCATTTGTCAGAGGTTAGCAGGAAAAGAGTTTCCAAGAAAATCACCTTGACACATTTTAAAGCATGTTGGGACTTCATAGCTTACTTTTCAAGAACAAATGTCAAAAGTGTACCTAGATTAAAATGTGAATTAAACTGAATAGAATTCAGTTCCCAGGACTCAAATTCTATTTTCCCCTGAATAGGGTGTGGCATGAATATAAATAAATAATAAGACTAAAGGATATTTTTTAAACCTTCAAATAGAGTTTAAAATGATATCTATATCCATCAGAGCTGTTGAAAATAGTGGTATTTAATCTCTCAATGCAACATTAAGTGCAAAGAGGTTTAAAAAATAAGCAGGATCCCATGAACACAGCAATTTTTATTTAATTCCCTAACACAATAGCCCATTCAGACCATCACAAGTAAGACTGTATCAGCATTTCAGACATAAGCTCTTTCCTTCCAGAGACCTGTTATCAAAATGTAAAACTTGGATTTTGGCAGAAATGCATTTTCAGGTTCAGATGGTCTAAGAAGGCACATTTTTGTTGCTTTAAACATTTCTGTTATCAGTCTGGCAATGTAGAGAGGCTCTGGGAACATAATTATCTGGAACTATATTATTTTCACGATTTTTAAATGGTAAAAGAACGCCCTTCTTTTTATAAAGTGTATAATTTCCTCCCTTTCATGCATCAAATAACACATAGATTTGGTCTCCAACGGGTGAAATGTATATCCATTCTCTATTATAAATACAGCCAGTAATTATTTAAAGTAAAAGGCACAATTTTCCCAAGGAGTTAGGCAGACAGATACAAATACACAGATTGATAAACACAGAGAATAAATTTAAATACAGACATACGGATATGAAAGACCCACAATAAACCCACACATCCTCCTCTCAATACGCCCCCACACACTTATTTCCGAGGGGCTCTCATCCTCCAACTCTGAACCTGTAGGATTCGCGCACAGAAGTGGGATTGACACGCTCTACTTTATCATGTCAGGGATCCAAGAACTAAGCAGGATTTATACAGAAGGCTCTAATGGTTCCAGAACGCTGTTACGGTCTACAGAAGCAAAATCCCACCCCGTAAACCGACACCTAAATACATCCTCACACAAGGAGCCCTCAGATTCATTTGGATAAGTATCTTTATGAGGATTTCTGAAAGATGTACTTGTTAGCGCTTAAGAAAGCCCTTTATCTAGCTTTTCTGAAGGCATGTGATATTGAAAACACGTGGTGATGGGTTCACAGATGTCTACTTATCTCCGAACTCATCAAGTTGTATACATTAAATATGTACAGGTTTTTTTTGTATGTCTATGATACCTCAATAAAATGTTTCAAAAATAAGTTTAAAATATATATATAAAAAAAACAACACATGAGCGGGTGCATGCACATACACATATATTCCACTCCCCCCGCCACCAGCCCCTGGCCCATTTTTCCACAATGGTAAATACATGCGAGAGAAAGGACAGGAATTTCTGTTGAATAAAGGAGTTTAGAATTAAGATCTCAGGCCTCCATCTCAAATGTTCTTTTTAGGGTATTTATGAGAGCTTGGATCACGATGTATATTCCGTGTACCAACCCTGGCTCCCAAGCTACTGACAACAACCTGTATCACAGCTTTACTGTTATTTAAATGTAGGTTTTGTTGGGGAATTAGAAATCCATTTAAAGCAAACAGCTCATTATCAGAGAGGTTTTTTTTTTTAAGATTAAACTCACTTATTATCTAATAGCACCTAAAACAACAAAGAAAAATAAAATGGCTATTAAACGAAGGGCTTAAACAATTCAAAAAACAAATTAAGCTTAGAGTGAAATAAGAACTGGGTTAGAAATCCTCTTCTGAACAGTTAGTATGCGAATGTAATTACTGAAGAAACTACAGCTAATCAGCTGTGAATTGTATCCATTAATTAGTATTTGCCCTGGAGAAATGAGAAAAATCAGTAACAACGCGGGCACGGCGGTGCGTTGATGAGCCACGGGCCGGCCCCCTCCGCGGTTACTCAAGCAGGTGGCTCCAGTGGTCCACGTAATTTGAAAAGCTCTCACCTGAAGTACTGAGCTGGCATTACAAAGCACTCCTTGCATATCTTTTGTATCTATATAAGGCCTTAATGAATGGCTTTTAATTTGGAAACACTTCGTGATCAGGCAGGAAGAGTTATAAATCATCTGAAATGGAAGCAAAGGTTTCTATTCTGTTTGGGGTAAAAATATCTCCTCTGGTTTGGAACTGGAGGGTACTCAGAAGAAAAAAAAACAAACAAACAGGATGCCCAGCTAAATTTCCCTTTCAAATATACCACTATATTTAAAATGGATAACCAACAAAGACCTACTGTATGGCACAGGGAACTCTGCCCAATGTTACGGGGCAGCTTGGATGGAAGGGGGACTTGGGGAGAATGGATCCATGCTTATATATGGCTCAGTTTCTTTGCTATTTGCCTGAAACTATCACAACATTGTTAGTCAGCTACACTTCAATTTGGGCTTCCCTGGTGGCTCAGTAGTAAAGAATCTACCTGTCAATGCAAGAGATGTGGGTTCAATCTCTGGGTGGGAAAGATCCCCTAGAGAAGGAAATGGCAATCCACTCCAGAATTCTTGCCTGGGAAATGCTATGGACAAAGGGACCTGGTGGGCTACAGTCCATAGGGTCACAAAAAGTAGGACGTGACTAAATAGCAACTCAAATATAACAAAAATTAAAAAAAAAAAAAAACCCACTTTATTTTAGTATAATTATGTCTCATGCAGTATTTGGGGTATACTTATACTAAAAAAGTATTTATTTATGGGGGATTCGAATTTAACTGCAGGTTGTGTATGTTTATTTGCTAAATCTGGCTACCCTTGTGTGCTGATGGACCTGACAAGGAAGAACGGGATCCCATGTTCACTGGCTTTACCTTATCAAGTAATGCTAGCTTAATTTTATTTTCTTTTAAAACACTACCTCTGGATTTTGTTGCACTTATTTTGTGTAAGAACCAATCTGATTCTGAGAGGAAAAAGTGAGCATTTGGGGCAGATTGCTAATATAATGACCCCAGAACAATTAACTTTAACTGAATTGTGTACAATTAAATTTACGTTCTAAGAGACAGTGACATCCATAAATACATTATATTACAAAAACTCTAGGTCCATGAGGGAAGGGGCCTTGACTGTGTTCACCACTGTCTGCCTGAACTAACAACAATGGCTGGCATATTATAAGCACTCCGATATTTGTGGAAGGGAGGGTGATCATATTTTAATTTCAGTGTATCGTAATCACCCATCCAAAGTGGAACAATTTTACCCCTTAGTTTTTTTATGATAATGATAATAAAGGTTTACCCAGGGAAGTCTTCTACATACATAATTAATATTTCATTTAACTTTCCAGGGTGGGGCCAAATGTAATTTATTTTCCCAACAAACAGAGAAATAAAATTACTACCCCTACTTTACAGATGAACACACTGATGCTTCTAGGGAGTCAGGAAATTTGCCCCAAACACAGATACAAGCAGTAAAGTCTGATATCCCTCCTGCCTCATGCTCATTTGCTCAGTTGTGTCTGACTCTTTGCAACCCCATGGACTATAGGCTCCTCTGTTCATGAGATTTCCCAGGCAAGAATACTAGAGTGGGTTGCCATTTCCTTCTCCACGGGATCTTCCCAACCCAGGGATCAAACTTGCATGTCTTGCATCTCCTGCATTGGCAGGCAGATTCTTTACCACTGAAGCATTGGGGAAGCCCCTCCTGCCTCATAATCTGTATCAATTATATTCCAGTCACAGCAAAAACTTGAATATTTCACTTAGTGATCAATTTCAGAACTTCATTTTTAATGATCTTACTCAAAGTTTAAATTTCCCAGAGGGTAACTCATTTACTAAGTCTAGTAAAATGCACTTCAGTAAAAGTATTTCAAAAACTAGTAAATTTGGGACAGGCTATGGATCACTGCCCTCTCTTGGATGAGTCACAGGGCTCCCTGTAACATTAAAGATTGTGAGAAGTCCTGCAGTGTTTACAATGTGCAAGACATGAGACAAAATGATGAAAAAGATGACAAGGTTCCTATCTGGATGGAGCTGACATTTTTCTTTAATTGAGAGCTAGTAAACCCAGCCCCACATAAACTGGCTGTGGAACACTTCATCCCCCCGCCTCCCACCACCACAACACCCTGTGGGAACACATTTTGGGACACCTTGTTCCAAATCCTTTATTGATAATACTGTTTTATTTTCCCTGAATCCTTCTTATAATAACTAATATCCTAACTTTGCACCATGGTAAAGTTGATGTATTTTATTAATCAACTAAATATGAATTTCGGAATTAGACCTTCTAAGTCAAGATGGTTAGGCAACACTGACTCAGTGGATATGAATTTGAGCAAACTCCAGGAGATAGTGGAGGACCTAGGAGCCTGGCATGCTGCAGCCCATGGGGTCACAAAGTTGGACACAACTTAGCAACTAAACAAGAACAGCAACAACAAGTCACCTTCATTTGGTCAATTTCCAAACTTTCTCAGTGGTCACTCTTCACTAATGTTCCTTCCAAGATCCTCTACTCAATGATACAAAGTTCTTCTATGTGATTTCAAGAGTCAAAACAAAATATGTCAAATAAATTACATGAACC